GCACGTGTGTGCCTGTGAGCGTGTGTCTGCACGTGTGTGCCTGTGAGTGTGTGTCTGCACGTGTGTCCGCCTGTGAGCGTGTGTCTGCACGTGCGTGTGCCTGTGAGCATGTGTCTGTGTGCATGTGCACCTGTGAGCATATCTGCATGTGCACACCTGTGAGCATGTATCTGTGTGTGCACTGTGTGTGTCTGAGCATGTCTACACATGTGTCTGTGAACATGCCTGCACATGTGCCTACATACGTGTGTGCCCATGTGCATGTGAGCATGCCTGTGAGCGTGTCTGCACTGAGCGAAAGTTCCACATAGAGAGGAAGACAAGGGGTGAAGGACTCAGGGACAGGAACTTGGAGGAAGTCCGGGTCATACCCTCTCAGAAGCTGAAGAGGCAACAACTTTCCCGAAGGAGAGAAAGCAACAGACAGTGAATGCGCAGAGACCGGGAAGGAGCACGTGGAAGCTTTAAAAAGTGGTGCTTAAAACAAGACTCTCCGTACAGGGTCAGAAGCTAAAACTACAGCCCCCAGAGGACGTCCAGTCCAGGAGCCGCAGTACCCCACTCCGTGTTCTTCACACTGTTGGAGTGTCATGCAGTCACAGGCATGCACACAGCCAACACCTCGCTGCATGTCCACACGCGGTGCAGCATGCCATGCCCCAAGCCAGATGGCCAAGGGGACATTCTCTGGGGTGCCTGGGGTGCAGGGGCAGCTGTGGGTGCTGCTGGGCGACCACTCCCAGCCCCCCAGGCCTCGTCCTCACCACTGAGTCACCAAGACACCGTGCCCCGTGCCTGTGCATTCTCCCACCAGTTAGTGTCCCGCAGCGCATCTGTGAGCGACCACACAGACATGGGCGGCTCTGGAAGCAGCGGCCCTGAGTCCTGCCCCACCTGCACATACGCACACGACCCACGCACACGTTCCCTTGCGCCGCCCGCACTCACACACCTGCACGGTTGGTGGCGGCTCCCCGGCCTCTCTGGAGCCACACCCCTCCCTCCCTCCCCCTCCCGGCACCCAGGACCCAGTGGGCGCCCAGAGCCCAGCTCATGGAGGCGGCAAGCACCGTCAGAGCCAGGCAGGTGATTTATGGAGGCTGCTAATGGCTCAGCAGCCACAGCCTTAAGCCCATCCGGCACCTCGCCCAGCCCTCTGGCCCCACCTGCCCAGGCCACCCTTCCCCCCAGAGGCCAGGCCGAGTCCTGGTGGGGGCCGGCCTGGCCCTCAGACCCACTCTGGCCCCACAAGACTCTGAGGCTGCTGAGGGGCCACTGGGTCTGGTCTGGGCCAGGACGGCACGCAGGGAGGCCTGAGGCAGGGCAGGAGCAGGGGCAGTGGGCAGGGGAGGGGGTTGGGGACGCGTGAACAGGGTGGAGTGGTGACCCGTCCCTCCAGCACCCCTCGGCTGCTGTTCGAACAGCAGTGGCTTTCCTGAGGGACAGTTACCTGTCATAAAGCCCACTGTTGCAAGTGTACCAGGAATGGTTTTCAGTCCTTTTACACAGCTGTGCACCCGCCATCACGGCCCAGTCTCAGGACACCTGTCAGCCAGGGTTCCCCAGAGACGCCGAACCGAGTGGGCACGCGTGTAAATCGGAAAAGGTTTCCCTTCAGCATCGGTCGTGCGACGGTGGGGCTGCAAATCCATAGCCCCGGGGCGGGGCAGGCTGCAGGCCCGGGCGGGTGGTGCCTCCACCACCAGGCAGAATCTCTTCCCCGGGCTCTGCTCTGGAGGCGTCCGCCGGGGGCAGGAGGTGATCCTCGCTCAGCCAGCAGGTGGTGGCGGTCGGCCCCTCCACAAGTGCCTCCCCAGCGGTGCCTGTATTCGCACTGGTGGGGACAGCTGGGTACGGGGCCCGGCCAAGCCAGCACAGAAAACTGACCGTTGTGGCTGTTTCCATCCTCCACAGACGTCCCCGAGGCCCGTCCACAGCCAGGCTCCACTCCGCCCCACCCCAGCAGCCGTCACCTCTGCA